ATCATGCCAAGTTCAGGCTCTAAGTAATTACTATGACCAAAAAATTACCTATTTTTATAAAGTTATTAAGACAACAGTAACTACTAATATTTGAATAGTTCTTTTACAATTTATAAGACACCTTGATACACAGTATTTTCCAGGACCCTCTAAGCAATCCTATTAAGATAGAGAATAAATCACACCTCTGTTTGGCAGTTAGAGAAATTCATGATGAATGGAGTATAGTGATTTGCCCTAAGTCATTCAGCTGGCAAGTGACAGACTGGGATTTTTAAAACAAGTCTTCTGGCTCCAAAGTCAATATTAATTCCAAGAAAATAAATACGCTACCACTGACTGCCATAGCAGTTTTCTATCTGCCTACTTTAAGCTTTCTCTTTTTCCTTAAACCTTCATGCTAGAAATGTTTAAATAAATCATTAGCTCCTCTAAAGTCTCTTCAGTACATACCTGTGTTCGTGAACACTTACTCGGCAAAATCTGCTACATGTTATACCCAGAAAACCATGTCTCACAACTTCTACTTGGAGCTAGGCCTATGAGAAGCTACTCAGAAATCTCTGGAAGCTTGGTGTTCTTAATAATTACATTGGAGTCAAGAATCTTTATAAAACATTTTACATATTATCCTGTCTGCTCCTGAACAGACTGATCCAAAACAATTTAATACTCTACTGACTATAAAGAAAGCTGAGTGCCGAAGAACTGATGCTTTTGAACTGTGGTGTTGGAGAAGACTCTTGAGAGTCCCTTGGACAGCAAGGAGATTCAATCAGTCCATCCTAAAGGAGATCAGTCCTGGGTATTCATTGGAACGACTGATGCTGAAGCTGAAACTCCAATACTTTGGCCACCTGATGCGAAGAGTTGACTCATGGGAAAAGACCCTGATGCTGGGAAAGGTTGAGGGCAGGAGGAGAAGGGGACGACAGAGGATGAAATGGTTGGATGGCATCATCGACTCGATGGACATGGGTTTGGGTGGACTCCGGGAGTTGATGATGGACATGGAGGCCTGGTGTGCTGCAGTTTATGGGGTTGCAGAGAGTCAGACACGACTGAGCGACTGAACTGAACTGATTCAAAATGAGAATTACTTAACAAAGCATCAAGCCTCTAAGCAGATCCTGTGTTAAGTTCTGACAATTTCAAAGGAAAAAACATAGCCCCAAAACTTCAAAGCAGACACTGGAAAGGGGCAGCAGAAGTGGTCACAAGCACCTAAAAGGTACAAAGACAGAAGTCTAAGGTGGGGCAACACATGGTCCAGAAAGCCTTGAGGCAAAATCTAAGGAACACAAGGGCAAAAAAGAGTAGCAAGCACAGTCATGGAAGTAAGGAGAGAATTTTAGGCAGTCTTTGTAATACTTGTAACCAGAACTTGGTGTCTAAGGAGAAAACTGAAGACGAGAAGGTCACTGAAACTGAACACCAGACAATGAGATCAGACAGGAGGAAGACACACTGCCGGGAGCAGAGATGTCAGGCATGAAGAGGGCACCCCTGGAGGAGATTAAAGGCACTCAACAAGCCAAGGACACCAGACAAGGAAACCAGCGAGGGCACAGGCATGTGCGCGCATGTGCACACACACACACCCCAACTGCATGTCACCTCGGCATCCTCTCGTTTTGTACATTGCGTAAAAATACCCATGTGCTTTTATCACAAATTACAGAATTAGAGCACTGGAGTGCATCCTGATTAGCCTTGTCATTTTGTAGGTGAGGTCCACAGAAGTACAGCTCTGTGCCCAAAGCCACACACATCACACATCAGTAGCAGAGTGAGGACTAGAGCCCTGTCTGCTGCTGCTTGAGTCTGAGTCTGCCACGCAACTGCCCACTTCCCCATATTTACATGAATTTGTATGCTTCTACCACCTTTCAAAGCTGACTCAAATATATTATGATGGTTACTGAGGTGAATGTTAGTAATAAGAAAAATGAAAGTGTTAGCAGCTCAACTGTGTCCTACTCTTTGCGACCCCGTGGACTGTAACACACCAGGCTCCTTTGTCCATAGAATTCTCCAGGCAAGGATACTGGAGCGGGTTGCCATTTCCTTCTCCAGGGGATCTTCCCAACCCAGGGACCGAACCTGGGTCTCCTGCATTGCAAGCAGACTCTTTACCATTTGAGCCACCAGGGAAACTTTATGATAATAAAGTTTAACTCAAAATTATTTATGCTGAGCTAATATAATCATTCATAAGCCTACTGGGGAATAGCCTTAGAGTCATTTATATCACTCTTTTCCTACAGTAGCTATCTTAGAAAATGGAATGTAGATTAACTGTCATAAGTCACTGCTATGTTTTATTATTTCACCATTATAAACAATGACCAAGGTTAAAGATAATAGTGATAGTATAAATCTATTCTTAATGCATATAATGGAGTCTCTATGCTTGAAAACGAATAGAATAACTAAATACAGAAAATACATTTTCTATATTTAGAGAGAAAGAGATACTCTGAGAGAAAGAAATACTTTGGAATCTAGTGTACTTATTCTCACTCATGAACAGCATGGCCTTCTTCCAAAGACGTAAGACTCTAGAATCAGTCATATCCCTAACAGAATATTCTCCTCTAAAAAATCTTTGTTATTGTTTAATCACCATTGTGTCCAACTCTTTGCTACCCCATGCACTATAACCCACCAGACTCCTCTATCCATGGAATTTCCCAGGCAAGAATACTGAAGTGGGTCACCATTTCCTTCTCCAGGGGATCTTCCTAACCCAGGGAGCAAACCTGCATCTCCTGCATTGCAGGCAGATTCTTTATCATCTGAGCCCCCAAAGAAGCCCAAGCAATCTTTAGGAGACAACTTAAGTCTTGGCCCAAAAAAGAAGGGGAAAAAAATAACTTTTCATAATAAGAAAGCAGAGACTTCATTTCAACTCCTCCAATACTAAAATGTCCCAGGCATTGTCATGATTGTCATGAATTTCTCCAAATCTACAGAAGAGTTTTGCAACTAACTTTTCAGGGTTTTTTGTTTTTGTTTTTGCTTTTTTCTGGCCATACCATGAGGCCTGCAAGATCTTAGCTCCCTAACCAGGGACGTAATCTGTGCCCCCTGCAGTGGAAGCACAGAGTCCTAACCACTGGACCACCAGTGAACCCCCTAACTTCAGCTTTCTTAAGGGAAGTGTATATTGCCTATGTAATAGATTTTGCCAAGATGCTGAATTTACTAATTTTGCCTATTTTACTCACAATAAAAGTGAGTAACAGGAAGATCATGGGAATAACTATGCAGCTAAGAAACTTCCCAGGAGCCTACACATTGTTTAAAATATTTCTCTGAGTCTCTCAGTCGATTCCCAAAAGTACTGAAAGATGACACTCCAAAAGACTCTACCATGGTGCTGAAGAAAGACGAAAGACTCACAGGCCTGGAGCATGTGCTCACAAGCTGGTCCTCAAAAAAAACACTTGTGTAAGAAATCATCTTTCCATCCCATTCTGTCAAAGTCTAGTTCCTAGACCACCTATTAAAAACGTTTACATTTTATTTATTCCATTAAGAGAGTAGAATGCTAAAAATTTTCCAAACAAAATGTGTAAGTAAAACACTATTAAAAAGAAGTTACACAGCTTCTCACTAAATTTTTCTCAGATCATAAAACTCCATCGCAAACCAGAAAATGCCTGGATTTCTTTTCTAGGTCCTAAGAGCTCTGCCCTTCCACCTAAAGCTTTCCTGCTGATTAAATGTCATTTTTGATCATTATGAACTTCTGCTGTATTTGAATTTGCTGGAGAAAGCTTACAACTTCACACTTCACCAAATGATGAAATCTCAAGGGCAAGTAATAGCAAGATGCAGACAGAAATTATAGATTGCACTCAAAACCTGATCAGCAAGAGAACTTGAAAAGAGGCCATTACCTTTAAATTGGAGGCAAGAAAGCTACTGGGCTGACACAAGCACCTGAAGAGCATCCTATCATGTTCACAACCAGCAGAAAGAGCATATTCAGTATTTCCTGGCTTGTCAAGTTGATACTTCACATGATTTTGTCTGTGAATTATTCTCCACATATGTGTATTATAAAAAAAATAGAACTGATATTTAAGCTCTCCTAAGACTGTGCTCAGTTACTCAGGCGTGTCTGACCCTTGTGACCCCACGAAACATAGCCCTCCAGGTTCCTCTGTCCATGTGATTTTCCAAGCAAGAATACTTGAGTGGGTTGCCATTTCCTTCTCCAGGGGATCTTCCTAACCCAGGGATTGAACCCGTGTCTCCTGCATTGGCAGGTGGATTCTTTACCACTGTGCCACCTGGAAAGCCCTTCCTAAGACTAAAACCGACAAAAACAAGTTCAAACATGAAACTGCCTGACCACAAAGAACTCCAGGGTGACTGACAGACTAACAATCACAAATGTGTGCTGGGTACCATATGATGCATTCTACAGAAAAATAAATCTTAAAATCGTTGCACAGAAAGATGACACAGGTAATTGCAAGTTAAGAACACACATTCACATTCTTATTCTTCTCCTCATATCCATCACCGAAAAAGTGGTAACAGGCCTCCTGATTCATCCCTCCTATCCCTCTACTCACCACATACTAAATGGAATCTGTCATTTATTCAGAGATTAGACCAGAAAATCACCAGGTACATCCAGGAAGTGAATTTTCACTCCTAACTTAGATCCCCCATACCTTCCAGCAAATTCTCAGAGAAGTTCAAGATGCCAAATTCTTTGAGACTAAAATACCTATCAATCCATGACCCACAAAATGGTCTGTAGGCAAAATTTAGATATACAAATCACCATTAGCTTTATGGTTTTAGCAAAACCCTAGGCAGAGTGGAAGACTCTGCAATAATTAATTGTTACAGTCAAGAACTTTCTTACAGCTCATATAAATCTGAATCTGCCAGATAAAGGGGGAAAAAACCATCTTCAATGGGTTCCTATTGCTCAGATCTCAATTCCAAAGCAAATGAGTATTAAACATGCAACTTGCCAAGACTTGGGCTCTCCAAAGTGGAGATAATTAATGCTGTAGAGGTCCATGTCCTCGGTGTGCCATGCAAACGTGGTTTTCCACATGCCGAAATACAGATACGGGGTGTTTACACCCTCGATAGAAATGCCACACTCTTCCTCAACCACATCCAAGACCGTGTCCAGGCGAGCGATGTTCCACTCATCCACACCCTAGAAACAGGGGAGAGAGAGAAGGGGCAAAAAAGACAAACATTAGTGAACTCATGAAGGTGACATTTACTGATCAAACCATCATCTGCCAGAATTATTATACTGTATATTTTAACTCGCTTAGAAATGTAAAAAATAAAGCAATAAGTATCCAAGGCACATACACACACACATATATATATTTATACAGATCCATGATTAATTATCCAAGATTAATACCAGCAAAATGTGGTTCTATATAAATATTAGTATAAAATTATGCCAAACGACAGAGAATTAAGGACCTACTCCCATCAGCTGTTAGTAAAAAATAAAACATCATTGATTCAAAGCATATGATCTGCAGCATGCTTTCCATCTTTGGAACACCAAGTAGTTTGGGGGGTTTTCTGGTTTTTAGCTTGTTTATTTGCACATTACTTAAGTCATTAAACATCAGACATCATATCAGGATACCACTAAAAAATGTATCTTCTGTCATTCCTCTTTCAGCCCCATTCAATCCTGGCATGTGATACATCGTTTCCTGAAAACCCAACTCTAATTTTGGAAAAATCCTTAGCACTATTCTAAGTCAGAGATCATTGTGCTTTTACTGCTTCTTCAACTAAATATCAACCTCTTATGCGGACAGGGAATTTTAAACAAAGAATAACAGCTAAAAATATTTATCCAAACTTTGGTAAAATTGTTGGAATAATGTAGTTTTATAACAATAACACAACATGGCTGGTAACAGACAGAAAAAGTTGAGTCACTGGGATAAAAGTTAAAATGATAGGAAAAGATTCTAGTTTTATTAAAACTTACCAATCACTTATTAATGCACTCTAATTCACAACTGTTTACAATTTTTACTATTTTTCTCGTAAACTTTTCTCATAATAAAATACTAAATATCAGTGATAGGACCCACTTTTTTTGTAATCACGATGAAATGGCAGTGTCTTTAAATCCAGTTCAACCTCCTCATGATACTATTAAAGACGGACATTAAATTTATTTATGTATACCAAAAAGGCCCTCCCTGGTAATTATGCCAAGGCCTCACAGATAACCATGGCTAGTATTTTCCTTATTGTTCTGTTTTCATTATAGTCTTTAGATGATAATATAATCAATGTACTGATCATACTTACTGTGCTTTTGGGTCAGGAAAATTGTTGATGCGGCAGTTAATGAAGCTCTGCCTCATGTAATATAACTGAAAAGTATCGGGGGAAATCATGTAATTCCAAAACTCCCCAAGACAGCCATTCTATAACTTAAAACCCACAGCAGGAAGCTTGCTATCTGAAAATTGTTCAAAGTTAAGTATCCTTTTAGAAAAGATCCTAGGTCCCAACTTATGAGACCTCATGAAAGTTCAAATTATGTAAAATATTTTATCTAACTCTATTTATAGTGATGCAATCTCTTAACCCTAGTCCAATCACTCTAATAATAGAGTCCTCCTATTTAAAAGTCATTATTGAGGCAATGAATCTGAAGTAATAAATGAGCACCATATTATAGGAATCATTTTTAAATTGAATGAGCTTGCAAATTTAGGAACAAACTATTCTTCTGAAATTCCTACATTTGAAGAAGTCTCATCTTTGTTTCTGATTGATGTTACCTTTCAGAAATAACTTAGGCTGAATCCCTTGACATAACTAGTCCTGTGGGTCTAAAGGGATGAGGGAAGAGAAGAAAGAGTGATGGCAGATGACCCAGATTATGGCCCCAGCTCTGCCACTGCCGAGGGCAAAAATCACTGCGATTTCCAGAGCTCCCATTCTTTCTTTGTGAAAGCATGAGGTACCCACCCAGAGCTGCTCAGAGGACTAAAGAAGCTAAAGGACATAAAAATCTCTGGAAAATAAAGCTTCTTATATTTTAGAACTGACAAAATAAATGTTTCCACTATTCTCCAGTAAATCTTACTGGAAACAAAAGTCAAACACGTGATAAAGTGATAGAAAAAAAAAGGTCCTATGAAATTCACTACTGAAATTCTTCCCCTTAATGGGCAAATATTAATAATATGTTGGCATCAATTTCTTCTGGGAAGGGCCAAGGTTGCCATGATGTTAAAACTTAATTTCTTTTGCTAAAATAAAGTCACATAATTTCAATAAAAGAGGTTATTAAAATATTAAGAATAACAGGTATAACAAGGGGCTGAGAATAAATCCTAGTGTTTCCAAATTCCTTCTCCAACGTCTGCTCTCTACTACTGACTGAACTCGCTAGCTGCCTAGAAGGACAGGTTCTACTCAAACTCTAAAGAGCACCAGGTCTCCTTCAGAGATTCAGACAAGGAGGACACCTCATTTGTCACTTGGGAGAAGTATGACACCACAGTCTATCTCATTATACTGCATATACATGTACACTACATCTACTCAAAATAATCCTGTAACATAAGCAATGTCATACCCAAATGAACAAATGGAAAACCGAGTACTCCTAGAGCAGTGGGTGGCAAAGATAAGCCTGAATCTCTCTGACTCTAGGCCTTCACTTAGAAATCCTATGCTTTCAGTTCTGATCATGTTAAAATGCAATATACCATCCTCTTCTCTCAGCACTAAAAATCAACAAAGATCCAAGGAGCTAAAGTTTATGACAGGCAAACATATAAAACTGCTACATTCCTCCCACCCAGGCATACAGTCACCCTACAAAAACACTGGCAAAGCTTCTAATAAAAGTTGCTTCACTTTTATTAGAAGGGTTGGGGACAGAACTGATTTAGTGTAAAAGTAGTCTCCAGAAAGACACCAGCTACAAACAAGCAACACAATGACAGGCTGGAATCTGCCAAACCACTCAGAGCTTAAAGCCATCAAGTCTCTTCAGAAAGTCTATACACCAATACAAGTTCACAGACAAATGCCTCTTCCCAGATTCCACCCCCTCGAATAAAGCTCTTCCATACAATGTCCAACAGGTGTTTGAGCAGTCTTTGCAACTCACCTGACGTCCACTGAGCAAATATTTCCCCCTGGTACCCATTTCCCTTCACTCTGATAACGCAGTGCATTCGAGGCATGCCCTGTTCTGTGTGTCTATCTGCCCTGTCTCTGTCTGGTTTACTGAAAAAATTCACCATTGGACCATAATTTGTGCACACATGTGTAAATGAGAAGTTTATCAAGGATCCTTCTTTTCAATCTCTGTATCATCAATCTAACAAGAATCAGAGAGTAACATGAAAGAACTGCTAAATTTTCATCACCATAGCCACTCAGGATATGTGTGAGGATCAGGCTTCGGACTTCACAGAGGAAGCGAGTACCCTCAAACTGGCATTAGCATGAACAATGCCTCTATAAACCTACACAGAGAGACCATGCGAAGTCTGAGTTCACACCCTTGAGCTCTGGGCCTGGGTCACGGAACACAGGACACATCCAGGCCAAGGAGCTCCTTTTTTGGGGGACTGTGAGCATCTAGAATGCTCTACAGTGACTGTGCTAGGTCACTGGGAAATTGATGCAGGACAGGGAAGCAATAGGCCACATTAGAAACCAAACCAGTAAGGAGCCCTCCCATCTAATACAGAGAAACAATGCAAAAATCACAGCAAACTAGTTCTCCCTAAAATATTTCTAATGAACATTATTCCTCCAAGAGGCTATGGTCAAAAAATATTGGTTTCCTTTTCTTCTCCTCTTACAAAGTCACAGTGCCAGCAGGTACTCTGAAGTTTCTAAGAGGTCATGCTATAAGGAAGCCTATTAACTTTGCTTTAACTCTACATTTCCAAATGTTACTTGATCACAGGACCTTGTTTACATAAAACATTAACATCTTTCCTCAACAACGTCCACATCCAACCCACATGTTTCTCTTCCCCACCCCACCTGCCATAATCCTCAGCACCTGCAACATTATCCCCACGCAGCTCTTTCCAAACAATGCTTTGAGCCTTCATCTCTCTCCTGAGTTTCACTGCCACATGCCCAGCTCTAAGCTGGACCCAAAGTGACCCCCCAAAAATTTATGAAAAATATATAAATTTATGAAAATAATTTCATTAAAAAAGCCAATAATTCAAAGGAGAAAAGAGCCATCTCCCAGGTGTTATAAAACTCTGAGAAAATACTAAAAGAAATTATTAAAGTTTCCCACTAAAGTTTTCAAATACTTTTATTCAGTACTTTTTACAAGATTGCATTTGTCCTCATTTGGCTCTCACCATCCCATTCTAAGACCCTTACTGCAGCCCAGCTAACATTTACTAGAGGAACATGATCCAAACAGAAGACTATCCTCCAAATTTCCACTTACTTTAAAGATAGGCTAATGTAAATTACTGCCACCAATTCATAAGGCTGTAATAAGTCCTTGAAGTTTCAAAGGTAATGCACATGAGGAAAGAAAAATAAAACTTGGTTGTTTTAAAGACTTCAAAATTCAATCAATTTCACACAGTAATGTGGGAAAACTGAATCTTTCAACAACTAAAATGAGAGCCTTGGTCACATTTAAAATAGAGGGTTTCCTTAGGATCTTTACACAATAATAAAATTAGACTCATGTAAAATTCATTTTGCTTTAAAGTTAATTACAATGTGTGACATGATAGCTCTTTTTGCTTCTTCCTTTCCATGAAAATATCTCACATTCTCCAAACTTTTTACTTTAAAAACAGACCTCTTTTCCTTTTTGCATTTTTATACACCAAAATACCCACAATTTTACAGCAGTGCTTTCTTTTCTTTCTGAAAGTCTAGTCAATAACCAATGTAGAGCAAGTTTTGAAGAAACAAAAATGTCTGCAACAAAAAGCACCACACAGTAATAAAAAAAGACTCTCGCTTTAAAAATGTAACTATGAGTATGACAAGAAGGAATGTAGAGAAAAAAAACAAGAGAAATGCTCAATCAAATAAAAGATTACAGAGAGCTTGGGACCCCTCCCTTGAGTCTGGACCATTGAGACCTTGAAGTCATTTAAGTCTCTGGTTCAAGGCAAAAACAACTCCAATCCTTCTGGGAGAAAAGCACCC